AAACCTCAATTAGAGGTATAGTAAAATTTGGAAAAAAAAAAAATCAAATGTTAGCAAGTACAATAATCACTTCATGTTGAGCATATACCAAGACATAAAATCTGCTGGCAACGAAATCAACAGAGGAAATCACCTAAATAAACAGTGTAAAACGTAACGTGTTGAACCTACAGTCGAAGTTATTCTATGACTGACTGTATGCCATGATGTCTGACAAAAAAGGTAAAAACCATTTTGGTTAGAACAGTAATTAGAGGCGACCCTGAAACTGGATTCCCCAAACCCTCTGGAGGTCCTCCTCTGGGTTTTATGAAGCACAAAGACAAGCACTGGTGCCCAGAGACGGGCTGGTGGCGCGGGGCTCTGGGTCCTGGCCCGCCACTGTCCTCGTGGCCTTCTTCACATGTCCGTTCCACTCCTTTGTGCTGGCCACTGCCATCGTCTTTCCAACTCTACACCTGAAGCCAAGTGACCTCACCTCTCCCCCCACTTCACATCACCGTGGACTGTTTCCACTCTCTTGTCTGAACTGAATTCAGGATGACTTTTTTTTTTTTTTTTTTTAACGAAAACGTGGTTTAAATCTACACATTTACAAGCCAAGATAAAAAAAATGTAACGTGGAAAACCCAGGATGACTTTTTTAAGTACACACACTTGATTATGTCGTTTCCCTGTTAAAACACATTCGTTGTATCTCTGTTAGATAAAGTCTTGAACCCTTCACATAATTTATCAAATTACCACACTGCTTAGTGACTGTTGGTGGTGGCCCTGTAGTTAGGGGTAACTCTGACCAACGCCCCTGTGGCCACTGAGAATGTCTTGTTCTGGACAGTGGAGAACATGGCTGCTTTAGCTGTTAGCTTCCTTCTTGCCCACTCAGCTCACTGACCAGTGCGCCAGCCTTCCCATTCTATATTCCGATACCCACGGGCTGTGCCTTTGATGCATTTATTACACCTTAAATTCAGTATCTGTATGATGCCTTTATAATGTCCACATTCCTGGCAGACTCTAAACTCCATGAGAACAGGAAGCAATCTAGCAGGTTCTCTCCCTGTTCTGTCCTGGGGGCTGAGCATGCAGGGGAAGCCTCGAAGGACCCCCCAGGGAACCCAGGGGAGACTAGGGACACAGCAGCGTGCCAGGTAAACGAGTTTTGGCTAAAGTAAGCAGGACATTTCCCAATAAAAAGCATTTTTTAAATACTCTCAAAATTGACTTGGGGAATAAAGAGCAATCCGGTGGCAAATGAGAAATAACATAATTGTGGGGCTTTCACTGTGTTAACTGTTTGGAGGGCACAATAGGATGATTATTATGTATTTAAATGCTTATTTGGTATCTTTAATATCCTGGGAAAATAGCACTATTTGGAATTTGGTTGTAGAAGAAGTGTCGAGGACCCCTAAATTTCTAGTCCCTTCAACACTGGAGCAACACACTGGCAGAGCTGCGCGCAGGAAGGGAACAGAGTAAGAAAGACCCCACGCCCGGTGCTTGCTGTTAAAGCTGGGGATGCCAGTAGGACAGCTACTGAACCAAACACAGATTCTGGGCATTCGTACTAGGCACAAAATCAAAGGTCTCTGGAGCACATGTGCTGATTTGATGAACCCCAGATGCTAAGTGTCACAGAAATGTCTATTATGCAGGCAGGTAAATTTTTATAGAGTGACACCAAAGGAAAATAAGAGTTAAGAGAGCTATTAAGCTGCTACAACTCAATGAAAAGTGTGTTCTGTTCTATTGCAACTTAGCTTGCTACAATGCTCCAGAGTAGCCCCCTCACTGCAAATGCCAGTCTCAGGAATGTGGTTCAATATGAACAATTGAAGCCTGAGACCAGAAAAACTCAGAAAGCATTTAAGAAATAATCTGATCCCTTCATTTATTCACTCATTCAGCAAACATTTGTGGAGTTTCTGCTAAGAGGCAGATACCAGGGTAGTCACAAGGGAAATAATTAGGGACAGATCATACTGCCCCCTCTCTCTGTCCAGCCAGAAAGAGAACAGATGAGTCCCTAGATTGGTACGCACAGGGTGCTGGGAGCAGGGTACTTGAGACAAGATGCCGAAGCTGACCCAGGAGGCCAGGAAGCGAGTCTCAAGTTAATCTGAAGAACCAAGAGGAAATCAGTGGAGAAGCCTAACCTGCCTACAATGTGAATAACTCAGACCTGCAAACACAAAGACTTAGCATCCAAATACTGAAGACACAAAAGAGGGGTACTGACTGCGGGTGGAGGCAGAAATTAGGATGTAGAAGTGGACAGAGTTGAGGACATTCTAGAGTGAAAGGGCCAGGACTTGGTGACCCAATGCTCTCGTGTGAGCAGCTGAGTGGAAAGTGCTGATGCTTCTAAGAGAAGGGTGAGGGGACGGAAATACACAAGGGGGAGGGTGGTCTGAATGATACAGAGCAGCCTTCTGTGTGGGAGTGTTCAGGAGGCAAATGGGCATGGGGACTGACACTCAGGAATGAGACAGGGAGTCAGAATAAAGCTGTCAGAGCCTGTCTGCTCATAAGATCTGCTGTGGAGGACTCCAGGGTAGCTCTGGGTAACAGGGTTATTCAATGTGGCATGCCAGGTGCTGCACAGGTGCTGGACCAGGTGCAGGGCGTAGCATGCGAAAGCAAGATTGTCTTCAGGGAGCTTTCATTCTAGTAGGACCAGCAGATCATAAACATGCAATTTCCAGAAAGGGCTGGTTTTAGTGCGAGTCTGTGCTGGTGGGACTCTGGCACCCCCTCTTGCCTGGGCTGGCTGGTCACCACTTCTTGGAGAAGTGGTACAAGGCTGAGCCACGTCTCTCAGTCTTCCCAAGAGCATCTCTCGTGTTTCTTGAGATAGTTCCCACTACTCTTTCTTGCAACTAGAAGAACTTAAAGCACCCCACTAATGTCTCTGGGTTCGGATGGACTGAAGCCTGAAGCACTCAGACAGTTAAGGCCCCTGACTCCCCCCACTGTGTAACTGTCAGTAAATGCAGTGCTATTGACCAGACCCTTCCTGTAAGCCTCAGCCGCAGGATTACTTCATCTGAACGATAAGCAGACTTCAAAACACGGGTAGAATGCGCCAAGCCCCATGCCTGCTTTTCAAGTAAACTCGTTGGGTTAGGCCACAGCATTTGTAAGGAAGAAAACCTGGGAGATGTGTAAAAGTGCTCTACGTGACATGCGGATGTACTGTGATTGACTTTTATTATTAGAGAAAATATCAAACAGTATTTGTCCCGACCATCTTAAATTTAAACTGCAAGCTTTAACTACCCAGCCAAAACATGATAAACATGAAGATTATTATCAATATGGGCAAAATGCTGATCAAATAGTAGTATGTGAAAAGAGAAGACTATACCCCCATTAAGATCAAATATGCTAAAAAATAATTATATATGAACATAAATGAGGTCTGCTCAGGTAAGGAGACATATTGATTGGAAAAACAGTCTCTTCCCCTCATCCCACTTTGGGAAATTAAGATGGAAAATAACAGCAGAAAAAGAAACTTAACTTGTTAAAGTGGCTGCCCACTTGAGAAACTTCACTAAGGTAAAACAGAGATACAAATTAGACTTTCAAAAGCAGCTTTTAAAAAAATAGCAACTACAGGCCCTCTGGATTTTATCAAAGACAAGATAAACCAGCCTCCCTTCAACTAAAGTCACCAACAGAAAACTTGCACTTGCACAATAAAATGTAAATGGGCCCAACAAGCTGCTGATGCCTGGGAAACTGAGCACCCTGGGCATCAAATAGTTCATTTATTGAAGGAAGCCTCCTCATGAGTCTTCATCAGAGCCCTCAGGGAACCCCTAGGCAGATACAAACTCACAGAAAATCAAAAGGCTAGAATTTGCAATTAAAAGTTGGATAAGTTTCCAAGATAGAAAAAAGAAAAGAAAAGAAAAAAAACCCAAAACATTTTCTTCAGTAGACTGTCCTCTCACCCTGTTCCATCTTATAGGTAAGAAAACTGAAGTACAGAGAGAAAAGGAAACGTAGCCCAGACCTTACAACAAGAGGACTTGAATCTCCCTACACCCTATTTAAAGAGCTTTCCACAGCTCCTTGCTTGATATGACCTCCATTAACCCCCCCTCTCTTTGCTGTCCAAGTGCACAGTGCACATGAATTAGAACACAAACTCAGACACAAAGAAGACCTGTTTCTACTTTACTTTTAAAGTTAGTAATGTCAGGATGTTTGCAGGATTACTAATAAGGGCAAATGTGCAACTCCAATGGGTGGAGAGGTGATGGGTGTGGTAATTTGGTTTCCTTGGTCAGCAGAGGAGCACATTCAAGTGCCTTTCAAATTTTTTGATTTGAGGCCTTTCAGACTTGATCTAGGACCTAGAGATTATGTCCCTCACAGATTCAAGGTTAAGTAGAACACCTAGGAACATAGAACCAAAGAGATCAGGGGCTTAAGGTGCTCTATATTCCGCCCTGCTTTCTAAAATAAGGAATGAAAACCATCATCTTATCTCTCCAAATGCTCAGAAAACATTATTAATTTTAATTCTTCAGTTCCTTTAACATAAGAAACAACCATATCTTTGGTTATCGCTAATAGGTAATCGTCCTTTGTCTTTAATATTAAGTGAAAGATTTGGCCAGAGGTCACTCACTGGAAGGGGAGGAATTCCTGAATATGGAATGTCCAGCCTAAGACCATAAACATGCACAATGCCTGCATAGCTCATACACAAATTCCATTTCTTTTCTGTGAAAAGTAAGTGTAGCATTTTATACCAAACCGAAAGTAGCTCCAAAGATTTGCATCAGCTAGAGATTATGAGATTAACCACTGTGCAGCTAATTTCCATCCAAAGTCTGGGTTTGGAGAATTCATGTCCCCAGAACACTCCGGTTCTGGGGCAAGTTGTCACTAATAGTATAGTTCTCTTAGGAAAGCTGACCAGAATAACCTGGAAATCCACCAGACACAAGGCCCACTGGTGGGTTCTAAGTGCATGGGCTTACCTGGAACATCAATCAATCTTTTGTAGACATTCAAGAAGGCTGCCTCAGCTTCTTTGCTTCTTTTACTCAGTGCATCAATCTGAAAGAGAATGAAAGAAAGAAGGGAAACCAAGAGATCAAGATTTGCCAAGAGGTAATTAAAAAATCATTACATGTCTAGTAAGTCCCCACAGCAAGTGAAGTCTGATTTTTCCACGTAGATGCCAGACAACTAACTGGCCTTGAGCCTGTCAGAGCAAACGCCTACAAACCTGAGCAGCCACCCCATGGACTCAGTTCCTAATCTGGTTGAACGAGGGTAAACAAGGCTCTGAGATGATGACGCCATTCCCAACACTCAGCCCCATCACCCAACTGAGTATGGGCTTTCCAGGGAGAAATATGCCAAGACACGGTGCTGAAGGTGAAGGTGGCAACAGAAAAGAGACAGTTCCTGGCTCCAGGAGCTTGCGGTCCAGTAGGGGAAACAGGCACGTAAATGAGCAATTAAGTCCCAGCTGGGAAGCCAGGGGACCCAAAGAAAGGGACATCAAGTATAAAGGAGGTGAGCAGAGTCTTCACGAACAGTTCATTAGGCACATTAAGGCACTGCAGGAAAGAGAAAGCAAAGCTTAACTCCAAGTGTTCAAAGATCCTCTTTAAGAATTTTACGAGTCAAGAACCTTCCTTTTTGATACACAGAATTGTGCACTCGGTATGAGAACACTCACACTGTCAACTTGTGTTGCATCCATGGTTTCCAGATTATGAGCCCATGGATAGAGCTGTAACACACCAAAGAGTCTGAGGCCTGGTGGGCTGGGAATACGGTCCTTGGGGAGGAGCTGTGAGTGAAAGACTGGACAGCTGAGGGGTCAGATTATGAAAGGCCATCAGTGCACATGAGGAGGATGACCTTCATCTCTGGCAGAAGTCAGAGTGGGAGGAGGGCAGGAGGGGTCAGAGAGTGGGTAAGTGCAGAGGCTACTGTCCTCCCTGAGGCCAGAAATATGCAGGGAGGGAGCAGGGGAGACTGAGGACAGGAGGCAAGTGGAGAGACTGCAAACTAAGCTGACGTGAGGCACAGAGGAACAGGCCTAGTCAAGCAAGGGGTTCCCATTCCCATATTTCCAGCTCAGGCAACTGGCAAGTTCCTGTGAAGGTGGCGAGGATCGGGTTGTCTGGTTATAACCCAGCTGAGCTAGTTTCCCTCCCACATTAAGTCCATCCCTCAAAGGTCAGTGACGTGTGCAACTCCCAAGTAAGCCAGACATACATCCAGAGAGTCTCCAATTGTTGGATCAACTCCCTGTGTATTCTGCTCACAAACCACACTTGCTGAGACAACGGATCACTTTTTACACCTGAAACATGCAAGATGCTACATGCACTAAGTTCACACTGGCGCAGGAAAAGGACACTAAATTACAGATTTCTTCTGTCCCCTCTCAGAATTATACTCTCTGTCTCTAATGTTATTAAAGAGGCAAGAGGATATGGCTTAATTACAGGGCCTCTCACCTGAGTCAACCAACAATTTGTTAAAGGCCGAGCAAGGTCGGCAGATTAAGGAGGGGAAGATGCCGAGAAGGGGGACAAAGGGGCCTCTGGAAGCCAACGTGGAGCAAAGCATCTGCGACTTCTAGCAAGCAGTTCTCTGCGATTCCTATCAGTGTGCTGACTGGAACTCGGAACTATTTCTATTCCCACCTCCTCAATGAGGATGGAGGCAGGGACGTCATGGGGAGGGGATGGGGTGGTCTGGGGTGGGCGGCCGGGCACAACGTCTGAGGAGGTGGAAGCTACTCCCGAGTCACGCACAGTGAAGAACAGGAAACAGAAGTCGTAATTCTGCCTCTCAGCAGTTGGGTGCCACCCACTCCCTGATCTGCAGGTCCTTTGAATGTACGGCAGGCAAACCATAGTGGCAGAAAGTAGATTCCTGGTTGTCTAGGGCTGCGGACAAGGAGACCGCCAGGGCTAAAGGGGCGTACGATCAGTGATGAGATGGCCACACAACTTGGCATATACTGAGTCAATGAACTTCAGACCCGTCCTGTGGAGAGCAAGGCCAGGCCATTGCGTCTAGTTAATTCATTAAGTCACTGGACCACAGTGCTTCTTAAGAGAAGCAGGGCGTCCTCCAGAGTGGCCATCTCTGCCCGCTGAGGTGCCCAGAGCCCTCTGTAAGTCTTTTCAAACCTGGAAGAATTTGTTGATTCTGGGAATTCCGATAATGTCTATGCACCCTATGGCTCTGCCCTTGTCCAAGATGGGGTCTCCTGCCCCAAGGCCTTGACTCCCCGTCCCAGCTTTCACTCACTGAGCACCTTTTGCTGGGATCTCTGTCCCCCAGACCTGTCCAGTTAGGTGCCAGGGCAGCCTCACCTCCCAGGATGCGTGCTGGGATCCCTCCACTGGCCGGGTTCTGAGTTTCGGGTCAGAATGTGGATCCCTTATCTGTACAATGGGGTGTCCACCTCCCAGGGTTGGGCAGGTGGCGGATGAGCTAACGTGGGCAAAGGGCTCAGTGCATGGTCCTGCATTTGAATGAACATCTAGAGGGAGACAACTTCTATATTTTTCCGTTTAAATGACCTGCTATACTGAGTAGATGCTCAGTAGTCTTACTAAGTTGACTGGAGTGAACACAAGCCAATCTGAGGGCAGTGAGATATGGTCTTGGGTACCCGGGACTCGCCATTTTGTGAGAGGAAAAGCTTCCCTCACTCTCCGCTCACCTTCCGGCTGCCCCCACCCCTGCCTCCCTACGTAGGGGTTCAGCCTGTCTGCTGTGTGCCCTTGAGTCGGTGAGTCCAGACTCCACATGGCACCCCCCCAAGAGTTGTGTGAAAGACAGGAGGTTTGGGGTAAGGTCTGAAGACGCAGATGGTCGAGTCAGGAAGGCGAGACACTGGCCCGCTAATGTGCAAGGACAGCCGGCGGCACAGATTCTGTCCAACAGCCCCAAAGCTTAAAACCTTCGGGGATGGCAAGGTCAGAGGTGGCGCTAATGGCAGACAGAGAAGCGCTGCGTGGCGTGCTCAGCCCTGGCCTGGGGTGGAACCTGTTCTGTTCCAGGGACCCGCCTCGCCTCCTGCCCTGCCTCGCACTCCAGCCACACCCGGTCAGGTCACTCCCAGTTCCTGAACACAGGAGCAATTTCCCAGCAGCCTGGAAGGCGCCTCTTTGGAATGTTCCGCTGATCCTCTCTCTCTGCTTTGGGCCACTGCCCTCACCCTCTGGGATTGTCCCCAAGTTTCCAGGACAGCAGATCAGGTTCCCTCAGGAGGATCCTGAATTCCTTGAAAGCCCACACTGCCTTCTCCACCGCCTTTTCTCCCAACAACTAGCACACACTGGCGTTGGAATGCATTTTTATTGTGAAGGAACATTTACCTAAGGTGGTCAGCTGTTTTATTCACAGAAGTGGCGCTCAATTTGCATCTTTGTAGAGATGCTTACTCTCCAAGGAGCCCGGTAGACACTGGCCTTATGTGCCGTGATCCGATGACACTTGGCTGCGGCCGGCGCGGTTCCTTCCGCCGCGCATGCCCAGAGCACCCTCGGCCGCCGGAGCCCAGCGCCGGCTCGGCTAGGTGCCCTGTGACTTCCCCAGCAAGTCTCCTGGGTTCAACATTTTTTATCCTTTCAGCAACTTTACGACTTTTACAATGCTGAGTTTGGTTTTCTGTATTATGAATTTTCAAGATACAGGTCTATATAAAGGGACTTGATTCTAAACTTCAGGCAATCACTATTTGCTTGCAGTCTTATAAGATGTTCAGAGACCAGGTTTGGAGACCAAGTTCATGGAATCAAATGCGGGCTGAGACTTAGGGAGTGAGAAAATGCCCAACCACTTGGGTGTAGCTGGGTGCATGTCTGAGTTTTGGGTGCCAGGTGGCACAGGCATTGCGCCCCACTGCCCACAGCCATGAGGCCTGTGCTGTAACAGCACCAGGCCACAGCCAGCACAGTCAACAGGTAATGTGGGTGGGTAACACCACAGGAAACAGCTAACGAAACCATGTGCCGTTGCCATAGGCTTCTGAGATTTGGGCTTGCTTGTTGCTGCAGCATGATTTAGATTTAGTAATAAACCTGTCGACTGCATGTCCTAAGAAGTAGTCACATCTCTAAGAAGGCAACACAACATAAAAATAGGGAAAGCCATTATCTTCAGAGCCAAAGGAATTTTGTTCATTTATTTTGGAGGCTGACTGCTTAAATCTGGGGGTGGGGTCATGATTGATAATGGAAGAACACTGGATCTGAAACTGGAAGACTGCATTAAGATCTGGATCCATGATGCATTTGGGAATGCTGAGACGGTCACATACCTTTCACCCCTTAGAATTTTATGTTCTAGGTCTCCAAAAAGGAATGATGAGCAAGCCTGCCCTGTGGGGGCCCTGGGGGGACGGAATGAGACCGAAGGTGTGAAGCAGCACAGAGCCATTCACAAGCTAGTTCTAGTGCTGGTGGTAGTGACTGACCTTGGACATAGCTAAAGGGAGAAACATGTAAGTACCATTGGAACAGAGCCTCAAGATCTCAGAGTCAGAGAATTCACATGTTCAAAGCCTCGGTTACTGCCCAGAGAGAAGTGCCACCTGTGAAAGCATTAACCTGGTAAGGCCGCTGTGTCAGCAACATTACCACTAGTAGGTTGCCACAACTTTTGAAGGATCTGTTTCTATCTTAAACGATACTCGCTGCAGAAAATCCTTCACCTACTGCTGATTTAGGACATTAGTGGGTTTGAGGCTTGGGGGTCTGTTACTAAATTTTCAATGGGGTTCCACAATTTCTGCAAAGGAAGGAAATGGGGAGAAACACAGAAATTCTGACTAGAAGACACTGTGCTTAAGAAAGGACAGAGCAATGTATTACATGCAGACGTGTAAATCCTCCTCCTGCCTTGACAGCCAATGAGTCAAGAGGACCTGCCTGTTAGGACTCGAACTTGAGTTGAGAATTATAAACTCTCCCCACCTTTGAGGCTCGGCCTTCACTGCAGCCACCCCCTTCTCCCCAACGTTTATTTGGACTCTGCAGGCCAGCAGGCCCCAACTGTCTCCTCGCCAAGGAATGTGA